CTCAAACGAGGCCGAAGCTTCTTTTCTTCTCTTTAAAATTCAATCAAAAAGACAAATTTATCATAAAATATTGATCAAAATTGATTTAAAACATTTAATTTTACTGTAGTGTAAAACCAGCTCTCACTGAGGCGACAAATAAAAGAAATGCGCTCATTGTTTTTTACTAACGTTGCCTTTATTCGAAGTCATATTTTCTGATTGTTTTTCAGCCATTAGCAGCCGAAGTTGGTCGTCTGGGCTCTTCAGACCCGGTCTGAGGCCAGAACCCAGGAGCTCTCAGCAAACTGTGACAACTGGGTCTGATCCTCGCTGGGTTTGTGTTGTGTGCTCGCTGGTGGCTCGGCCCGCGGCGGGACGCTCCTCCTGAGCTCTGCTCAAATTTGTCTTCAGTTCGGCGCCACGGCAGGCCATCTGCAAAAAGAAACAAACCCAAACAGCTAAAAGGAAACAGCTGAAATGTTTCCATCACTTTCATGAAACCTTTGAGCCGAACTCTTTCAGCTGATATTAGTGACGTCTGCAGAGAAACGTTAGCTGGGATTTACTCTGCAGCTGAAACACAAACAAAATTTAACAAAAGTTCAAAACTTCAGCTTCTAAAAAAACATGAAAAGGATTCATTTTTATTTTCATCCACATATTTAAAAATCAGATTTTGCAGTTTTCTGTTCGGTTTTATGAAACTTGGTGAATTTTGTTGCAGAACCACTCGGTTTGTGCTAACAGTTAGCCTGCTCGCATCACTCACAGATGAATCTGATGTATTTAATAATATTTTGGACACGTACACATCGTCTGGTTTCAGATGAAGTGAGAACTCTTGTTCCTGTTGTGGCCAAAACACAAGACAGAAGAACAGTAGAATAAAATCTGATGATAATCTGCTCTAATTTACCATGTGATGAGAAATAAACCAGTGACTGAATAAAATAAGCAAGAAGGGAAAATGGGACGTGTTTAACTGAGGACAGAATAAAAACAGTTTTTACAGTTTAAACACAGTTAAACTCTGAAGGGTAAAAATATTAAATAAAGCTAAGGTTTGACCTGCTCATGTTGAGCAGGTAAAACCTTATTATGTTTAAAAATACTTGGTGTTTTTTTTTTTTTAGCTCTGATGACTTCATGACTTTAGAGGTGAGGACAAATATTTAAACAGTTAACACAACTAACAGATGAAATCTAACGTTTTATTTCTTATAGAAAGCTAAAATACAGCAGCTCATTCTATGAATGAGAATAATGAGAATAATGAGAATAAT